AAAGATACCGGTGTCTCCATTGTAATGTTCCCCTACATTTGTGTAGACTTCATCATACGTTACTGGCTTGTGTTCTGATGATGGATCCAGTACCGATGTACGTGCAACTGAAAATACAACTTTTGGAGTGGTTTGCATTGGACCTCTATAGCCCCTAGGCTCGTCGCCATCGTATGCTTTCACATAACCGGCCCCTTTATAGCTCTCACCCTTATAGCCATGATATGCTTTCACTGAACCGGCTCCTTTATAGCCATGATATGCTTTCACTGAACCGGCTCCTTTATAACCCTCAGGCTCATCGCCATCGTATGCTTTCACATAGCCCTCACCCTTGTCGCCATGATAGGCTTTTACTGAACCAGCTCCTTTATAGCCATGATATGCTTTCACTGAACCGGCTCCTTTATAACCCTCAGACTCATCGCCATCGTATGCTTTCACATAACCGGCCCCTTTATAGCCCTCGCCCTTATAGCCATTATATGCCTTCACTGAACCAGCTGGACCCTGCAAACCAGGTAGTCCGTTTCTTCCATTTTCGCCTCGTTGTCCTGGCTCGCCCCTGTCTCCTTTTGGGCCTGGTAATCCATGATTACCCGGTATACCTTAATAAATCAATCGTATACAAAAATAATTAAAATTTAGATACATGATGTAATCGATAGTCTCGTTGATAAGAAATTGCTTAAAACGTCACTTGTAATGAAATGCAATTACCTGGGGTACCAGGGATACCATGGGAACAATGACAACATTGTTTGGCGTCACCATACAGATCTCCACCATCTTTATTTCCTTCTTGTGCGGATATTACAGGAATGAGTAGCATAATTAGCCAAATAATATTTCTACATCGGGGAGACAACATACCGTTTTTCAAGTTGGAGTTCATGACGAATCTGTTATTGTACAAGTGGTTATCAGAATACATCAGTTAATTTACGTAACTTTGAAAAGAAAATACAATTCGCTCGAGTAGGTTTTGAAACTGAACATGAACTGACGATGCATTTTTACTGTGATCGTAAGAAATAATGAAACAGCATTATTGCAGTATGGGGCACTATTTTGCTAATGATATACGGTATTTCTCACAATGTAGCCATTGCTCCCCATGGCAACAAGTTGTTTAATATTGCTAATTTCTAATATCACACTGATATTTTGCCGTTTCATTCTTTCTTGCGCTCACAGTAATGTTGATAGTGGAGGTATGGAAGTAAAGTGATGATGACAGTCTACTTTGGCCTTGCCCTCGTATTCCTCCTTTTGCTCTTCAGTCTTCCATGGGGAAGGTCACACAAAGCTCACTGACATTTTCTCATGACATTCATTTTTTGTCTGGTGGACAAATACGGCACACAGAGAAAGGCGCTTTTTTAATTAAAGGGACGACTCGAAATAATCAGACCACAACGATTTTTGCTCCGTTCACGTTAAGGGATTAGGGCACGTGCCGACATTTTTAACCCTTTGCAGACCAAATCAACTCATGTCCGCTGGCTGCTAATAATTGCTATAGTGAAATTTACTATTATGGTATAACAGTTGCAGCAACGCCGGCAACGTCCTGCATTCATTTCATTCACTACTACGGCATCCGGGTCGGGTTACCACACAACAAATACAAAGGACTTGTGACCTTTGCAGACGCCCTCTTTGCAGACGCCCTCTTGCGACACCGGTGGTGATTGTCACCGGCCCGAGTTCAGTGCTTGATGCAATGGTTGACAGGTTCATTAATATTCCACCAGTCAGCATTAAGGCACAGAAGGACTGTTGTTAAGGTCAAATTTTAGAGTGTATAAACAAACATCCTTCTCCATAGTTTATTTAGACATCAGACTTGTATTACCAGTCTGAGTTTAGACATAGTCACTCTAACCCGACCTTCGCGGTAGCTCGGCTTTCGCTATTTACACTCCCACAATATTTCGTTTTATCGAGAAACAACAACAAATAAACAAGGGACTTTATGCAGGTCTAGTATTAATCCTATAAATGACTCAACCAATAAACACGTTTTAAATCACATAAACCATTCAAAGAATACTGGGAGTCACTTTCGCATTACATCATCTTAGGTAAGAGTTTGTCGCCATTCTGTAATGTATGGATTTTTTAAAGGTCCATTTGTACTGTCCAGCAATATCATACCCTGAACAAACAAACAAGTCATTCACTATCTGCACACATGGAGGATTATGATACATACAGCCCCGCAAAATAACTCATTTAAACTACAGTCCCTATATCCCCGATCTGGAAACGGATATTTTTCTAAGGTGTGAATTATCCGATGGGCTCGGACTGCGCTGGGTATGGCTTTCCGCAAGCTTAATCTCCTGATGGCAGATCATTCCGCTGAAACATGGAACTATAAACCCCAGGAAGAACAACGAAACTAAGAGGATTAAAAAAACCTTTGTCTTGTATTACTAGTCTGAGGTTTATCTTACAGTGCTTTCGCTTTTGTTTCCACGACATTAGTCATACTCCATGTTAGTTGCCGCCGATACGCCCGTATCAATCGCTTTGCTGGAAACGGAAAACTTTAACAAAAAAAATTTCATATCAGTGCAGTAAAATATTTCGTTTACTACGCATGCGCAAACAAGTCGGTCTGCAGAGTGACCTTCAGTGTACCGGAAATCATGCAACGGGTCGGAGTTTTAGCGAGTTTTCATAATTTTCAATGTCGTTTTTAGATTACTTCTTGTTTTTTTCAACCCTCGAAAAAATAAGGTTGCGAAAGTTTGCGAAACATGGGGTTTGGTATGCTGTTTGTTGTCGAGATATCCAGACTTATTCCGTGTTTCCCTTCGATCGCCAGAAGTGCCAATGTGTTTTTTTTCCCCGTTGAATGTCGCTCATTTATCAGTGTTTTTGTCTTGGCGCCATTGTTTTTTTATGCTGTAACCGAAACAACTCGATCACGTGATCTTCCGAAGTCGCCCGATTGACTCCGAAAATGACCGATAGTCGGAGATAAACGTTCATTTGCGTAAATCGGCTTATTTTTTAATGCGACGAAATAAACAGTCAAAATAAACATTCGACATCGCGGCAACTATCATAGTTCAAAAGAAACGAAGTGGTTGTTCTGCCTGGGGTTTATAGTTCCATGGCTGAAACGAGCGATTCATTGTTCCCATCATATTCTAGTTTTCACAACCGAAAAAAAAACATATACCGGGGATATTTTTTATACTTTATATAGATTTAGAAGCTCAAAATATTTCTTTAGCCGGCAAGTCTTTCTATAGTGGTATATTGACAACATTCTTCGCGAATATCACACTTAAATTTGAGATACTCTGTCAGGATCGCAACTTCGAACATTTCGCTCTTTTATGTGGTACATAGTGTCCAATAAAGTGTGTTAAAATCGGACATTTCGCCGTCTGGTGAAAATTGTGTTGGATTATTGCAAAAACGTGGACGCACATTTCGGTTTCTGACGAAAAAGGCTTTAATAACGGACATTTCGCCATGTGGTGAGAATTGTCATGAATTATTCCAAAAACGTTCAAAAATTTTAAAACGGAAGTAAAAACTGATATATCATAAAGGATGGCAACTTACCAGGAATGACCAGACAAGACTGATTGGAGAATGTTTGCTTGGAGAAGACAATATTTCAATAGAGTAATGTGGCGTGTATCGGTCGAATGCAACCAAAGATTACAGAAATTCTCGTGTTATCACTGTCTTGGCCAATGAAGAACGTGTATTTTCGTCTATCAATCAATGATAGCGATTTCAATATAGCGGTAGCGTGATATTTAAAGTTTGTTGCCCTTTTGAGATATTTCTGTCTCTAATGTTTTACCCTTTGACCATTCCTCGGTTGTTTAGGTTTGAATAATCTAAGGTGACAAATCAGTAAATAGTCAGCCTTTTATTCCATTTACTCATCGAATATTAGGATGCCGGTATAGAGCATTAAAATGCAACAATACAGACTAATTTGTTGCTTCTCGATATTGAATAAAAAGGAATAAAACACACCAAACGTCTGTTTTTGGTGGGGAGGTGTTCGACCTTGACTTTTTGATGTTGTTGGCTGTGAACAAACAAACCAATCAATGATAGCGATTTCAATATAGCGTGAAACTCCCATCATGGAGCTATCTCATTCTAGCTCTATGCTCCCATCAATTGAAAATATTATGTGCGCCATGAAAATGACAATAAATAGCCACGTGATTGCCTGTGACGTAATTGTTTGTCACGTGTGTAAACGGCGGACAGTACCGTTAAAAACACTGTAACCGCTGTTTTCTAGTCACTCAGCAGCAATGAAACAACTCCTGAAATGTCTTACTTGTGCAACCTATGTTCACATCAATATCTTCCTTTATCTTACTGTCAACGTATTGTCATGATATTTATAGTTTTGTTGCGCTTTTGAGATGTTTTTTTTTTGTCTCTAATGTTTTACCTTTTGACCATTCGACCTCATTTGTTTAGGTTTGAACAATCTAAGGTGGCAAATCAGTAAATAGCCTTATCTTTCATTTTGTCACAGTTCAAGGCCAACTTAGGTTCCGTAAATAAACATCTAACAATTAGGTAATAGTGTCTCGAATAAACAGGAAACACGGCAGCTAAAATGTGTTACAGCCTGTTCAACTGTTGTGACGTTACGAACGAAGTTGTCTCCACCATAGTAATTGAAATGAGAGGTTACTTCAAGTTGAAGAAGACGATTGAGGGCGTGATTTTGGCTCCGACAGTTGGGCCGCGTATACACAGTCGGGCCATGTCGGGCCTCAACCATGGAGCTAATGGCTCAACCCTATCGGACTTCAACCCCGAGGGTTTATTGGAGCCGAACTTGGCTCGAGCCGAACGCGTATACACGGCCATTTTTTCTGGCTCGAGCCATAGGGCTCCGATAAAATGCTGTCATGTGAACGTAGCAATTGCTATGCCTTCGCTTTCACCATAGACCTTTGAAAACAGGTATATGCTTTTACACATAAATCTCAGTACATCGCTTCAAATTTGTTGACTAACATTGAAATTGTATCATTGATATATTCCTGGTTGTGTGCGACATGAAAATAACGCACCACAGGAGTTAATATTTTTGAAAAGAGTGATTTTGCGGAGCACCCCGAAGAGTTGTTTAAAGGGGCCGATATTATAAATAGGGGCAAGACGGGCACCACAACTAGTATGCTAATCCGAACCAGCTCCCTGTCCGAACCAAGCCGCTCACATCGTGGCGGGAGCTTTGGGAAATGTGTCATTTCCAAATACATTTCTATGATTACACTCATTTGGTTGGGCTTTTGATGTATAAATGTTGTAGTTTTCGGTCGAAACGCACTGCGACATGTAAAAATCATGAGTTTAAAATGGCGGCTAATGTATACAAAATGCCTGTCAATCACAGTTTGAGTAAGCGAGCATAATAAGCATTCATTTACTTAGTGGACAGAGGCAGAGTAAATTACCCATGAGCACGTGGTGCAATCGGTGGGATTGAGCAGTTCCCATTTAAGTGTCATTTGCATACTGAAAACTGGCGGTCATCTTTCCATTATACACACAGATGATTCAACCAATAAACACGTTTTAAATCACATAAACCATTCAAAGAATACTGGGAGTCTCTTCCGCATTGCATCACCTTAGGTAAGAATTCGTAGCCATTTTGTTTTGTTTGGATTTTTTTAAAGTTTATGTCCAGCAATTTTATTAAACAAACAAACAAGTCATTCACTAGCTACCGGTACACACATGGAGCTCCTTGCTACGTTCAAAATAACCCAATACACCAACCAGCGCTGCTTTGTACAATGGGAGAATATGTTCACATATATTCTACGTTAAACAATATTTGCATTATAGCGTTCATATTACAGAAAATAGCAAAATATAAAACGGAACAGAGAATCATAGATATTCTCAGTTAGCTGGCGCAAAAACACCGAATTCGGTCGAAATTGTTAACGGTTGGCTTAATATAAACATAACAGATCATATTTTTGTGAAAGATTGGCATTTTTGTCCTGATTTGTAGGGATCTGAAAAACGCGTTTCACAACTTGTTTCTTATTTAGTTTTATGCTGCATTCAAGATAGCGGCCACCATATAGTAAATATCGCATTTACTTTATTAACACGTGTGCGTCAGCTGACTGTGGATATTCTCAAGTTAACTGCGAACTCGAGTGACGAGTGGGCAAGTCACTTTAAAATCGTCTTCCACCGACTCTTAAACATAAACTTCATAAACTTCTACATAGCGCAAAGTACATACTGTTGTATTCATTCACAATTTCAATGCAAAATGTTATAGCTTGGATGTATTTGAAGACTGAATTTAATTTTTTGTCACTATCAAAATGAGAACTTTTGTTTATGTTTGAGCTTAACGCCACGAGGATAAGCAGAGACATACAGAACGTCACATTTTGCTGTCTTTTTGTATTATAGTAACCCGCTTTTTATGTGGCATTAATGGGTATTAAAATGGGACATTTCGCCGTCTGGTGAAAATTGTGTTGGATTATTGCAAAAACGTGGACGCACATTTCGGTTTCTGGCGAAATAACGGACATAATAACGGACATTTCGCCATGTGGTGAGAATTGTCATGAATTATTCCAAAAACGTTCAAAAAATTTAAGACGGAAGTAAAAACTGATATATCATAAAGGATGGCAACTTACCAGGAATGACCAGACAAGACTGATTGGGAAATGTTTGCTTGGAGAAGACAATATTTCAATAGAGTAATGTGGCGTGTATCGGTCGAATGCAACCAAAAGTAACAGAAATTCTCGTGTTATCACTGTCTTGACCAATGAAGAACGTGCATTTTTGTCTACCAATCAATTATAGCTATTTCAATAAAGCGTGTTACTCCCACCAATAGAAAATGGTGTGTGTCACGTGAAAATGAAAATAAATAACCACGTGATTACCTGCGACGCAATCATTTGTCACGTGTGTAAACAGGGTACTGGTAAACACTGTAGCCGTTGTATACTAATCACTCAGCAGCGATGAAACAACTCCTGAAATGCCTTACTAGTGCAACCTATGTTCACATCAAAATACATAAATTTGATTTTTTCATCACAAAAAAAACAAATAAAAGAAAAACGGTAAAATGGATGTACTTCAAGGCATGCTGGGAAATCTTTTTTGTGGTCTCTGCTGTCAACCATTTTTGATAAATGTTTTTTTTCAAAAACATTATCGTCTGGCATCAAACTTCTAAATTTACAAATAACACAACAAAATTAATATATATGAAGTACAATACTTCCTTTACCTTTCTGTCAATGTATTACTAAGATAGTTATAGTAGTTTGTTGCTAACGATATTGAATGAAAAGGAATAAAACACCAAAAGTCTGTTTTTGGTGGAGAGTGTCTTGAGTTTTGTTGATGTTTGTTCTTAATGTAGCTTGCAATTAAACAAACCAGGGCTGGATTTTACCAAAAGTTTGCAAAATTTTGATTTTTGTCTTGTAATTCAGGATAGATAAACAAATTTACCTAAATTTTCCTGCTAAAATATCTATGAATATATCCCTCTGCTTAAAAATATGCTAAATGTTGTGTTGAAAAGTGAGCTGTATCACAGACCTTAAAAGACAGTCTATGGCTGAGCAGCAGGAAGTGATCTGCCTGTCGCTAAGCTTCAAATGATACAGTACTGTATACTAATGAACAGTCACATGATTGAATGTGGTAATATTGTGATTGCAGTTATTGACAGTAACTTAACGTGGTGACGTAACAAATGCATTATAATGCAACATTTTATTTCCCGTCTTAGAAAGTTTGCGTGCACACAGGGTTGTGTAAAACCACAGTCCCTCTATCCCCGGTCTGGAAACCCGGTCTAAGGTGTGAATTACCCTCTGTGCTCGGACTGGGCTGGGTATGTTTTTCCGCGAAACAAAGTCTCTTGATAGCAGAGCATTCTATTGAAGCGATCGATTCCCTTCATTGTTCCCTTCATATTCTAGTTTTTTTACAACCAAAAAAACTATATATTTTGATACTTTATATAGATTTAGAAGCTCAAAACAAGTCTTTCTATAGTGGCATAATGACATTATTATTCGTGAATATCGCACTTGAATTTGAGGGACTCAGTCAGGAATCACGGTGACCACCGAACTCGGTCAGATTTCTACTCGGCCAGTGACCGATCACGGCCGGTGACCGAGTTGTGCATTTTTTTTCTTGGCCGAGTTGAAATCTGGTCGAGTTCGGTTGTATTCGGAATCACAACTTAGAACACTTCTAACAACCTTGACCGGTTGGCTCCTTCTATTCGTCATGTGTTTTAGAAAGATCAATGTTTTTTTTCGTTTATTGGATAGCTTAAACCCAGTTGTAGTTGGTGGATCGGTTTATTGTGCTTGTTTTATTATATTATATACAGTATACGTATCATATTTAGGCATCACTTTTTCCGTTCAAAATAAAGATAGCCTCTCGCCGATTCATTGCCTTTCGAATTTTCGTGTCATTATTTTTGTTTACAAGCATATATTTGGGATGTAGTTTACAATGCTGATGACTTTATGTCTCTAAGAATAACATCCTGCAGTATCAATTCTTTAGCACTGCCAGAATTTGAGTAGGCAGACTTTTTTTTCGCCCCGATGAGAACTTATTTACGGGCGCCATTTTGATTTTGATTTACTGACTTACTCGAGGCGAGTCAGTGGGTTGGCCCCTTTTATAGTAAGAAAACTGCGTTCAACCATAATATTTTTTTTGAATAGATTTGTACATTCCCCTTTTGGTGATGTGGTTAGTTTTTCTCTCAGATGTTCGTATTTTTATAAATCACGGTAATAGTTTCTGTTCTGTTTAAAGTTTATGATCACAGTGCTAAAGTTAGTGGACGCTCAGCTTCGTGGCTAATGGTCCAAGTTGTGAACGGTTTATTTACCCGCTACCAGCCCTGAATGTATTTCTATGGGCTCTGTGCGCGCTGCTGTGGAACGCCGGTGAAACTAGTTCCTGGGCTCCCTGTGGTATAATAATGATTAATCAAATACACGTACAGCTGTTTTTCATCGATAGTCAAAATAATTTCTCCATGTCTCAATCACTCAGGGATAAAGTACGTTATCCTTGATAATAACGTACAAGAAAGACATTTATAACTGAATCTTTCCGTCAACTATTTTCAACGGTCAACTGAACCAGATTATACAGTGCACCTAGTACTATTCAGAATTGCCTATTCACACATCCACTATTTGAATATTTAAATGACGAGATGCACAGTTAACTGAATTAATTTCCAATAAGAACCTACTTGTCTGCATTAGTGCATCTTCGCCAGTCAAGGTCTAAGTTTATTCGGCAAAGCCTCTAAACAGACCTTGGCAGAACGACCATCAAGGTCTAAGTTTATTCGGCAAAGCCTCTAAACAGACCTTGGCAGAACGCCCATCAAATATGCGTATTCTAACAGCGCCCCAGTAGTCAGTTGCGGCTAATCATTGTCCAATCAGTTTGCGTGTTACAAATCCCACTTTGGCGTTTCATTTTAAACAAAATGGCGGCGCCCATGAATCGTGATATTTGTGATGATAAAATTGCGAAAGTTTTCGGTGTTGGTGCCCTCAAGCCTCATCAGGTACAGGCAATCGACGCAGTTTTGTGTGGGAAGGATGTCTTCATAGCCACAAAAACAGGAAGTGGAATTTTGTTTCATAATTTATTACGTCCAAGCTGATTGGGCGCCTTGTTTCGAGGCGCGCCCAATCACATCTCACTGCTTAAGATACGCAATTAGCCTACGCGATCCCGCACGGTATCGTGTAGAGGCATATAGGTCGAAGACACGGGACCGTGCGATTCGACGATGGCATTAGTGTAGCAAAATTAGAAATCAAGCAAGATTAATCCTAGGTGGCATTTCCCCTTGGTTTGCTATTTATTTCTTATTCTTCATTTTTCATCTTTCTATAGTCAGCCTTTTCCTCCACTTCAGGGAGATGTGTGAGTGTTATTCAATTAAATAAATCACAATACATCACGGACCAGAATATTGACGTGTGTGTGTGTGTGTGTGTGTGTGTGTGTGTGTGTGTGTGTGTGTGTGTGTGTGTGTGTGTGTGTGTGTGTGTGTGTGTGTGTGGGTGTGTGTGTGGGTGGGTGTGTGTGTGTGTGTGTGTGTGTGTGTGTGGGTGTGTGTGTGTGTGTGTGTGTGTGTGTGTGTGTGTGTGTGTGTGTGTGTGTGTGTGTGTGTGTGTGCGTGTGTGTGTGTGTGTGTGTGTGTGTGTGCGTGTGTGTGTGTGTGTGTGTGTAATTACACTGAGCGGAAAACATTACCTTTAAATGTAATTGCTAGTAAACTCGATTGTTCTTATCAACCCCATAATTAAAAAAATAGTTCACAACGCTGATAACGGGTCCCGAAATACGGCTATAAGGAAAAGTAACCCCTCTATAATTTTATCGTCAACTGAAATGTTAGCTTACCAAGGAAATAATTTAGTTAGTTCCTCGCAAAAGCCGGATTCTCCGAAATCAGCTTCGAAACTTGAGTTTCGCGTGAAGTTTTCAACCAGAGAGTAACGAGCCAGCGTATTACACTACTATCAGGGGGAAAATCTTCTCTCCGGGGGTTCTCCACACTTGTCAGGGGGGAATCTCGTCTCGTCTCTCTATCTCGTCCCCTTGAGGTACGGGATCGGGAAGTCACTTATACTTTACAGTCAAATAAGACACACACAACAAAATACGTTTCAGCTCTCGTCTTAGTCGGTCAATCGAGCACTCTATAAGACACAGCGCCCTGGGGAAAAGTCCCCAAGACTATTGCAAGGCTGAACCAAGACTCTCTTAGACTGCGTCAACACTCGCCCCAGGGCTCTCCAGGACTGCCCTCGACTTACACTCACCAGGACTGGACTCTCTCTACTGCGTCTATCGTGCTGTGCTCCCCAAGACCAACTCAAACTCTCTTTATTCATTTTCAAAACTCTAACCAATTACAAAACAGTAAAAAAACACTAGGGCGTAACCTTCAATCATAAAGCCTATCACACTAAGTACTGAATACGTCATATCTTTTGATTAATCGTTCACTACATTAATAACTATGAATATAAACTGTCAGAATTAATAGTCTAAATAGCGGCGCTTATCTGGTAATTAGTTCCAAATCACTGAGCCAAGTTCCGTCCAAAACTTCAAATAGGCCTGAACGATGACAGACATAACACAGCAATTCACTAATAATCAGCTAATTAAGTCGATTAACAGATACGCAAAAACAAATTCATGACACTACACAGCTTTTAAAGACAAGTGCAACATAACTAACATCGCTTCAGTCTTCACAGCTTGTGATTGGCTTAACTGTCAAGATTCTATTTCATAGAAAATTATGGGACACTGTTTACACCATATGTGGTAGTAGAGTTGGTTTTCAAATCATTACCCTGTTATTTTTTGACAGGTTTGTGCGATGAACCAATCTGATTAAAATCTGATGTAGGTAGAGGCGTCATTTTTTATTAATTTATATATATTTTTTTATTGTCAATTCAAGGATATTGTTTTGTTTTACTTGTACATGTATATATCATATCTCGGTCGCCGTAACTGCATCTGACTCAGTGCAATAACAAAACTCAGCCAATCATAGCACGGGTTACAAACTACCGTAAAATGTAAGGCATTCGCCAAAAACTTCACTAACGTCGAGGGTGAAGACATCGTACGGTTCGACTTTTGGCGAAAATCATAGTTATAAATAGTCCTACGGTGTCACTCACACTTCAGGCGGGCTCAAACAAGTGTAAAATAGTTATAAGAAACACGCGGGAAACGCATAAATATACAT